ATATATATATATATATATATATATATATATACATGACTTTGATAATAAAAGAAATCCCATCTTTAGAATTCTGCAAATGATAATAAAAAAAAAACCCTCCTGAAATGGCTTTTTTATTCTAAAATCATTTTCTTTAAGAGGTAGGGTTTGAGTTGGTCTACAGTAATTATAAATGGTTTTATTTGTAGACATCTATTGAATGTCCTCATTTAGATAGCCAGTCAATGAACTTCATTATTTTGGTGCAGAAGTACCTGCAAACAACAGAAGAGAGAAGAGTAACTCACGCTAAGTGACAGTGGAGCCAAAGCAGTTTCAGAAAGGTCATTTTGGGACTCGAATGGGACAAAATCCACACATTGAACTGCTGGACATGTTTTGTTCTTTCCATCAGCACCAGCAGCCTCTTCTTTGAGCTCTCTGTGTTCATTTTGCCCTCTATCCTCTGTTAAACACACTGTTAAAGAGGAACGATATTCAGTCATGAAGCAACAGCTCACTAGGTTTCACTAGGAGAAAAACTCCAACTGTGTGAGATGCACTAATTCCAACATGTGTAAAGACATCAATGTCTCTCTGCTGTCTATATAAAATCCCCTCATCCTGCTAAATGTCAGTGTGTTTCAAGTGAAGTTTGTGTCTGAGGAAGCCAAAGGTCATTAGAGATCAGGTGTACCTGCTGTTGCTGTGTGGGATGTAGTTCGTCTCTGCTGGGCCTGCAGCTTTATGTTGCCGATAACCGCAGCGGCGTTCAGGGCCAGGATGGCGTCTGTGCTCAGATCAGCCGCGTTATCTGAGAACAAAGAGACTGTGCATCATCCAGAGTCTCGGCTAGGCCTGGAACACACTGCACACAAGTAGCAAAAAGCAAACACTTCCGGCAATGCAAGTGGGATTTTGTTGTTGCATTCAGAAATGTAAGTAATGCAAGTATGCTACGTTCTGTGGCAGAATGATGTATAGTTCTGCTTGGCCAAAATTACTGTTAGTTAAAGTACTGACATACTCGCAATGTTCATCTAGAGAATGCAGAGAGTGCATTTGCAATGCATTTAGGTCTGCATTAACATATTTGCGTACAATATATTTTTGGTCTATGGACAGCTACAGCAAATACTGGAGTAAGGAGTTTCAACAAACTCATTCTCTATTTTATTCTATTCTATTCTATTCCATTATAGAAATAAAAATTAAAAACAAATCTGTATATAGTTGTATAAAGGGTTAAATCAATGTTTAAGGGTGTTCAATCTTTTTTTTTTTTAAAGGTTGTAAATAAATTTAGAATAATAAATGAATAGTAATATAATGTTTTCTAGATAACATAGATAGACAGACAGATGGATAGATAGATAGATAAATAGATAGATAGATAGATAGATAGATAGACAGACAGACAGCTAGATAGATAGATAGATAGATAGATAGATAGATAGATAGATAGATAGATAGACAGACAGACAGCTAGATAGATAGATAGATAGATAGATAGATAGATAGATAGATAGATAGATAGACAGACAGACAGCTAGATAGATAGATAGATAGATAGATAGATAGATAGATAGATAGATAGATAGATAGATATTTTAAATTTGAAACCCTTTAAAAAATTAAGGGTTTTAGTAAAGGAAGGGTTTTAAAAATTTACATGATGCCTATGTGACAGGACTTAACAATTATAAAATATAATACATGCAATAAATTAAATATAAATAAATATTTACATTGCCAATTTTTTAAACAAAATAAAAATATAAAAAATTTTATCTGGAAAACATTATACTATTATATTCTATATTATTAAATTTCAGGGGGAAAATTACTTTAAAATGTCCTAAAAACTATAAATCAATGTAAAGTATAAGCAGTAAGTGGCATTTTTTTAAATGCTAAATTTCTAAATGTTTTACTATTAGAGGTCGAGTTAGTCTGAAGTAATTCTAAGTGACTTTATTTCAAACAGTAGTCATCTATGCATGTCCTCAGATAGTTAAATGTGTGTGTACGCATGTATTTCGGCGGCTGTCAGATTTCTCTCTGTGTGTAGCAACTCTAAATTCCCACGGAAGCTCAAAAACCGGTATTGAAAGCAGGGTAGAAATAGATTATGCATGCAAAGAGATGCGTGGGAAAATGAAAAGATGAGAAAACGCAAGACAGAAAGAGAGAGACAGCGGAGAAATCGTTTCAGGGCCGTCCACCGCTACCGTGCGTATCTGCCGTGAAAAGCCTCAATTAAAAACCTCTGCTCTCTCACACGATAATACTCATCCATTATACATCAAAGCGGCGCCATGCAGCCTCAGCTTACAGTGTGCTCTTGTGCGTCTACCGCAGAACATCCACACGGGTTCTGCTGGTACCTGCTGCTTTTAGCAGCGTGAGAGGTTTGATTCTTGAAATAGGTTCCTCACGATCCCACTCTTTCCTCGCGCTCCCGTCCTCGCCACCGGAGGCCCAGCGCCTTCCTGCTTCGCTGCTGCTGGAACTAACAAGGTCAATATTTGTCTTCTGGGGAACAGGAGAGCTCTTGTTGTGAAACGCTGGATGTGTAACTGTATTACTGCCAAGTTCTGTGCGGTTAAACAGGCTTGCGTCGCAGCTGAGAGGCCTTCGAGGTGGCTTGTATGTTTTGGTGTCGCTCTCCCCTGCTGCGCTGCTATCGTTTGGGTTGTTGAGGTAGAGAGACAGGCTAGATCTGTGCTGGGACCTCCACTGGTTTCCTCCTGGCTCTAGAGATATAGTTAACGGTTGGTTTAATGATGAGGGATTGACTTTAGATTCATTATGGAGTCCTTCAGTGTAGCTGTGTCTGTATTTCGCTGGACTGAAACGCTCTCTCTGTTCGGTCATTTTCACAATGGTTGCCTTTCTTCTCAGTACCACGCTGTGATCCATCTCTTCACGATCAGAGCCAGAGGTCGTGCTTTTCGTCCTCTGTTCAGTGACTTTGACCACTAAAGCTTTTCTTCGTCCATCGGCGAGGCTATTCGTCACTGGACTCAGAGGCCTGGAGTTTGTGTGCGTGACCTTCCTGGAAGTGATAGTGATGGACGATATTGAGGAGCTGAAGGACTCCGGCGCGCTTCCACGCCTGCATGCGGGATTTCTCAACATGGGATGAGGTCCAGCGTGGCATGTGTCCATCTCGGCTTTCGGATTCCAGGCTTGCGGTCCATTTCGTCCTCCCTCGGAGCTCACAGATCCCGAAGCCTGGAAGCAAAGAAACGAAATCCCTTGAATTGGGCTTTGTGTGGATGAAAGAGGTTCTCTCTGCCTCCTGTGTGCACAGTAATGCTTTCGGAATCCGTCATTCTGAACTGGTGCATTCTGCCGTTTCCATAGCAACCGTATCAGTTCTGGGGGCAATTCGGTTAAGTTGGAATTCAAGGCACTTTTTTATTCAATTATGAGAATCACAGGAGAGTTTTAATCTTGCCTTACTTTCATGGAGCCCGAACTCACAAAATACAGATGCTTGTGCGTATGAACATAAAAAACAGTACCACAGTATATATATCAAAGTACCATGGTGCATTTCATGGAATGGCATTCATAACCAGTTTAACTTCTGAAATATGAAATATCTGAGTGTAAAACTGGATATTTAAACTAGAGAAAAATAATGCTACTATATATCTGGTTAAATCCAACTGTTATAAGCCCAGAAGCATGCATTAAGAAAGAATATTTTGAACAATTTGAGTTCATGTTGTCTTTAAAATAAGGAGAGCATTAGCATTTCTAGAGATATGGAAACAGTTTATTCTTTCTTCAGCCCCACAACATCCTATTGGAGGAGAAAATGGTAAAAAGACAGAATAAAATCTGGTATCAAACACTTTTCCTCTAATTCACTGTCATGACTCTAAAAACTCAGCTTTGACTAAAAAAAAAAACCTTCATTTAATCAAACTACAAAGAGATCAGCATCTGATGTATGTTTTGTATTTTATACTGAAACACAATAAATAAATAAAGTTAAAATAAATGTTAAAATAACTTAATTTAAATTAATTTATAAATAAACTGAGAAACAGAAGATTGTCTCACTTTCTAATTCTAAATTCGCGAAACATTCTTATGAATAAAATTCTTCTTAATGTCATTTTTTAACTTAAGAACTTCTTTAAGAAGTATTTTTTAGAATAAAAATATTTTTTCTAATCTTTTTCTTCTTATCTGGTGTATACACTGTATATCAAAGTACTTTCGCTTTGCTGTTGTACCTCCATGGAATGGCTTTCATAACCAATGTTACTTATGCAATATTTCATATTTGAGTGTAAAACTGAATGTTTAAACTAGAGGAGAGAACTTGATTTTATACATATAAATCAAATTGATATGACACCAGGAACATGTCAGTTTTGGTTTTATATTGTTTTTAGAAAAAGAAGGAGCATTTCTATAGATACTAAAACAGTTTATTATTTCTTCGGCCCCACAATGTCCCATTGGAGGAGTAAAATGGAACAAAGTTAATCAAAAAGAGATGCAGAAAAGCTGCCAGGAGCAAACATCCCATAAACAGCACAATAAACAGACACAGAAAGAGATTTTTTTAGAGAACACATTTATCTGATAGAAAGAGCCCGTACAGTGTTCAGCTTAATTCAGAGCAACTGCTTGTGCCACTGAGGTCGGTTTGTGTGTAGGTCATCTGGAATTATGTATGTAACTGATTACAAGATGCTGTTAAAGAGCATTTACAGTGTTTCTAAATGAAAGACTGCTGAGGAACAGAAGCACAGCGCAGACAAACTTGATCAAAGATTTGTAATACACTTATGTTCTTGCCAAATGCTCGCATAGAAAAGCAGCTTGGGCCCAGACCGGATCTGCAGACTCTAATTTTCAAGAAAATCCAATAGATTTAAACATGGTAGTAAACGGTGTTAAATAAGTTTCTACAACACTATATTTTTATTTCAGCAAATATGCATTACATTTCTATTTTAAATAAATGCTGTTCTTACACAAAAATATGAATCAGCACATCCGTTCTCAACAATATTAATAAAAAGAAATGTTTTAGAGCAGCAAATTAGCATATCAGAATGATTTCTGACGGCTCATGTGACACTGAAGACTGGAGTAATGATGCTGAAAATTCAGGAATGAATTACATTTTAACATATATTCACATAGAAAACAGTTATTTTAAATTGTAATAATATTTCACAATATTACAGTCTGAACATAAATGCAGTCTTGATGAGCTTAAGGAATGTCTTTAAAACATTTTATATTTTAGAATGTTAAACAAATTATGTAACATTTTAAAAATAATAATAATAATAATAATATTAAAATTACAAAATTCTATTTGTTAAAAAAAGTAAAAAATTCATGAGTGAAAATAGCTTTTGCCAACAAGGTTGGCTATTTGCACTCAGTGTAAATAGACACTGGCATTAATCAAACCATGTGCTTTTGAATCACAAGTTTATATCAAGAGCAGCAAGGCTTTATGAACCATACCATCATACAAATCTATGTTAGCGGTGTCTTTTGGGTAAATCCTGTGTTTATGGTATGTAGGACAACAAGCAGGCATCTCTCTGTTTGGTGGCCGAGAGACCCAAAGTCCATTTTAATAGTGTGAAAAATATTTCAAATGAAAGCACTGGGCTCATAATGCATGACATTTTCTGATTTTAAGAGATAATTATGTTGTAACAAAATTACAACATAACACGCTTTATACGGCCAAAAATGTTACATTATTTATTTTTTGTCTCTCGGAGACCTGAGATATAAAATATAAATAAATGCAATGAATTTTCACATGCTACAATAAACCCCAAACAGAAACTGGACTGTACAATAATCACATTTCTGAAAGGTGAATGCATACTTTATGATACATGAGCAGTGTTGGGAAGGTTACTTTGGAAATGTAATAGGTTACAGATTACAAGTTAACCTATTTAAAATGTAATAAGTAGTGTGACTATTTAAATTACTTTATTAAAGTAACATAACTGATTACATTTGATCACTTTTTGATTACGTTTCTAACTTTCTAACAAATGTTTTCAACTGGGTCTGTTCACATTAAAGCTGCTCCTGCTGCAGAAAGAGCTCAGTTCGGTGCTCTCGCTCCAGTTCGCTTCGGCTGGCTGCCCATACAAAGACATGTGATACTGACGGACATCTCTGACAACCACCATGACAACAGTAGGTGCCAGGTAAGAAAGAATAACAGGAAAAGGAAGTGATGTCACAGCAGGAAGTTTATTTTCAGAGAACATTTTCAGATTAAAAAAAAAGAACATTTTCAGATTTTTCTGTTGAATTTAAAGCATTTTTCAGTTTTATCCATCCAATTTTTGTTTTTATTTATGTATTGTACATAGATATATTTTTT